TATTCTAGTTCATCAGTTACATGGAAGCACTACTGTAGCATAATTAGAGCCAGATGGATGTTTCTTGTTCACCAAAAAAATCTCGGAAAGTGTTTAAGATACAGTAATAACTTAGTGTTCCTTTACTTGCTATCTTGATTGAAGGCTACCATGCATAACTGCTTGGGAAATGAGCATGGGAAATAAGCAATTTTAAACCCACAGGGAAAAGTCTTTTATCTTATTCTACTTCTTTGCACATAACCCCTCTAAAATATTGTTTTTCCACTATCTTATCAACAACAGTATTTTAAGTAGCTCAGGAACAGTTGTTTTTGTTTGTCCTTGCATAAGATAAATGCCCGCAGAAAGAAGCAAGTCAAAAGCTTGGTGAAGTAGTGCATGCTTATAATCCCAGCATTTGGAAGGTGGAGGCAGAAAGACTTGAAGTTCAGGGTTATCCTCAGCTGCATAGCATAGGAGTTTGAGGAAAACCTGGACTACATGAGACTGTCAAAAAAAAAGGAAAACAACCAATCAAGTCAACAAACTCTATCCCCACTCAAATCACAAAAGCCACATACTTCTTTAAGAGTTCAGAAACTTCAAATATATTTAGTTATAATGACTGAATTATAGGAAGCATTTCCTGCAGGCTAAGCTCTCAAGAAATTTCCACGAAGCTACTCAGGAGGAAGTCTACATTTTGCTTTACAACTAACTGGCAGCATGAATCAATCCTAAGGAAGGAGCCTGGTCACTCAGCCCTTGAGGTGTCCCTTTGCCTTAGTCAACAGTGAGAACCAGAGTTTTTATATAAAACCACGAAGACTGACGAAGGGTCCTTTCCCCTTATGAGGGGTGGCTGTGGAATAATGTGAACTGATGTGGACTTGTCCTCCCTTCAACCTTCCAAACTCCCATGCCACTTCCATGGCTACTTGTAATAAGCACAAAAGAGAAGAAGGTGCTCAATCCATCCTGCAGTTGCGAAACCACATGTGTTCCAGCCTAAAGAGATAGGCAAGCATACCAAGTTAAAGGGAAGAGATACGCAAGCTTACCAAGTTAAAGAGAAAAGTCAGAGAACGCTCTCTCCCTCAAATAGAAAGTAAAGGAGGTCAGTAAAACCAGAGAAGACAGACTTCTCTAAGTAGCTGCTAAATGAAGGGACTGAACCTCACCTCTTTAATACCTGCTCACAAAATTCTGTGGCAGCTGAAGAATGTCTGGCAAACTAGTCAAAGAAACCCAAAATTGGAATCTTGCAGGGTTTTCAAGAAATCAGATTTGATTTGACAAAGACATTTGCTTAGCCAAGTTGTATTCTGCATGCCCACACACTCAGAAAACATAAATCCATGTTCATTTTCCCCTTAACCTCAGTTTTTTTAGTAGCAACAGTTCCAAAATGGTGTGTCAACTCACTGGCTACTTCCTCCTTAAACACACTTGAGAACCAACTCTGTCCCTCACCTCCAATCTTGATAGAAAACACAGCCACTGCCATCACTGTCATTTTGTAACTGCCAGTCAAAGAGGTTTTTTACAACTTGGTTCTCAAGTTCTTTCTTCAATCTTAAAAAAAATGAACACAAGACAATGCAGTGTTAGGGTGAGGCAGAGACCAGAAGAAATATACCTTCCATGGCCCTCTTGTTTTTGAAAAAAAAGGGAAACTATTCCTTCTCAACACAATAAACCTCCACTTTCAAGCATTTTTGACTCTCGGCTGAGCCCAAGTCCACAGGAACCAGAATGTTCCAGCAAAAAGCACACCTTTGCTTAGTCAGTGTTCCAATTTCTGTACTCTCCCAAAAGGCAAAAAAAGCAGCAGCATCTATTTTCCTATTTATCAACCTGTTTATTTCCTCCCTTTCCTGTTACAAAGCTCTATCTTCTTTCGAAGATTCTTTCAAAGCAGTTCCTCGTACCACTGGAAACGATTACTCTCCAGGAAAATACAACTTTACTTCACAGAAGAGCTTCACACAGAGCAATTTGCTACTGGTCGATTTTTCATTCCAGTCAAGGCTTCTAAACCTGGCACAAATCTGCCTGTAGCTCCCTCCTCTAACCGCTGTCTGTAACTCACCCACTCACCCCCTGCAGTGAGGCCAGAGAATGCAGTGCTCCATACATAGTACCGACTGCTCAAATCACTGAATTTTAAGTGCCACACAACAAACACTCCTATGCACACAGCAACCATAAGCACCAAATGAAGTCACTTGCTGCAACAGCAGCTCCAGGACAAATCATGGAATAGCATCTAATCTTTTCTCAACTCGACAACAGTCAGCTTCACTTTCCTATAATTTGTGGTCATGCATCACTGGCCCCACCCTTCATGTCAGAAAGTAATACCCTGGAGTCCTGAAGTCAGAGGCCTCACAGCATGGTTTAGACTAGCTTTGTGCTATGGCAGACAAATCTGGATTCAAGTTTAAGCATGGCCTCTTATTACCAATAAAAAGATTTTTTAAAGTACCTGTCAGAGTAGGCTAGTCTGTCTAAACGTCAGAACAGACATCTGCTTGCTAGGTAATATAAATGATACTATGGAGAGGTAACTCAGCTGAAGACGTGAATATAAGTGACTTTTGTTAGTATCCACGCAGGTAGTTAATCTGTGAGCAGGCACCATCACCTTAGAGAATCCAAGCACCCTGGAAGATTCCAGCATTGCTGAAAGCAAACATAGGTTCAGCTCCTTCTACTTCCATCCCACCACAGAGGAGCCTTTAAGAAAAAGTCAAGCCTTAGCAAAGGAGCTCAAAAATCCACCGCAGGCCACCACACCCACACCAAAAGGCTAAGTGACACTTTGATCCAAAAATGAGAAGTACAAAATGAAAAAGTTAATCAAAGAGGCACTTCAGAAAATCCTTTCAATATTTCAGAGAGACTATACGGACACTGCAAGTTCCATTTTCATTCTCATGAATTCTGACTGTCCGATATAAACAGGAAAGGCAGTACTGAATATCCCAAGAGTCTCAGCTGGTAGCTAAAAAGTGAAGACATGAGCAATATAGGAATCTTGAAATTGAATTTATACACATACAAGCTACAGAGTATTTGTGTGCGTGTGTGTGTGTGTTGCATATGTGCATGTACACACACACACACAGGAGTACACAAGGGTTCATGTACCTATGTACCCTTGTAGAGGCCAGAGAAGGGCATTAGGTATCTTCGTCTATTGCGCTCCACCTTACTCCCTTGAGACAGGGTTTCTCACCGACAGTGAAGCTCAGAATTTCAGCTAAGCTGGCTGGCTGACAAGCTCCCAGGGGCCACTTGTCTACACCCCTCACCCTCAACAGTGAGGTTACAGGCATTTGCATAGGCATACCCAGATTTTATGTGGGTGATGGAGATTTTAACTCAGGTCCTCATGCTTGCACAACAAGAACTCTTTCTTACTGACCATCTCTCCAGTCCCTCGGCAGAATACCTTAATCCTATGAAACACAACAGGACAGCAAAACTGAATGTTTTTAAAACTGGCACTCCGGGAGAAAATATAAAAGATATTTGCCACTCTACAGGAAAAAGTCAGAGTTTCAGTCTGGAAAGAAATCTCAAAGACTATGGTCATGGCAATCAGAAAATCTGGTGCCAACCAGAAATATCAGAATCAAAGATTTGGGAGGGCTAAGGGAAAGCTGAAGGGATAAAACATATTTCTACTACAAAGTTATCATGAATGTGGATGTGACTGAATCCAAAATTCAAGAATGAAGAAAGTGAAGGAATATAAAATTGGGCAGGATCTATACTGCTAAAAGAGCCCTACTCTGGGAATCAGAATACTTGGGCCCCCATTCTGGCTCCAATCCAAACCACCATGTGCCCTTAGGCAAGTCACCAGCATTCTTTTAAACAGCCTCCTTATCTTTAGGAGGTGAGGAAATTCTAATTATCATAAGATTTCGGCAGCCTTAAAAATTTAAGTCAAAAGTACACAAAGATCAGGAGCTTTCTGGCCTACCAACAACAGAAGAGGAAAGATTAAAAAAAAGGGCCAGGGAGTGAGAAAACTTTAAGCGACTACGAGTCCGTGGAAAAAGAAAAGCCTCATGACAGCCAAGAACTCCTAGGATTCCAGGAAAAAGATGTCAGGATCTCACAAAACTGCAAACTGCTGGGCATATGTCAAAACGGACACAAAGGGGGGATGGGAGAAACTACCCACGAACTATCTCCGTTCATGAATCAGTAATAGACCTGCGTCTGGTAAACAGGGGCTGCGAAAGCCACGACCATGAAAATCACTGTGACTGACCCACGACAGGGTGTCTGGGAAGCAAAGGGCAACGGGAGTTCGTCTGGGGTTCAGTCTAATGAGGATTCGGAGGGTGGGTGCAAAGTGAGGCAGGGGCAGAGGAAAGGCGATCTGAGACCGTGCGGGCAGACGGGAGCAGAAGAGGAGTCCACGCCTGACTCCCGCTGCAAGGCGACAGAGGGGTCGTGGTCCGGGGCCCCACTCTCACCATCTTGACGATGCCCCGCTGCACGGTGGGGACCGCGGGTCCCCCGGAGGAGCCGCCGCTCTGCGCGGAGGAGGCCATGTGTGGAGCTAGAAAGGCAGAGGGGGGGGCGGCCGGCCGGACTGGAGGTGTCAGTATGGGTGCCGACGCTGGTAGGAGGTCGCCGCGACGAGGGGCAGAGGGGCAGGCTACCGGCTGGACACGGACGCGCCAGGCGCACACTGGAGCACCAGAGGGACAGGGAGCAAAAGAGGAGACGCGATCTCCGCCGCCGCCACACGTTCTACTCGCCGCGCAAGCGTGCCAGAGCGCCACCGCCCCCCGGCCAATTAGCGCCCAGAACCCGCCCGACCTCAAGCCAATAGGCACCCAGCTTGCGAAGCCCCGCCCTTTGGTCCCAAACCGGGTGGGGCGCTCCAGGAAGCGCTGGAAGAGCTGATTTGTGGTGACCGGCCGAGTACGGGGCGGGACTTCCGGGGCAGTCTGAGTAGGTGGTGTCGGGAGGTGTAGTGGGAAGGAAAGGACACGTCAGCATCTGGCGGTGGGGCGCGGGGCGCCATGGGAGTCCCGAAGGCGGGGCGGCCTCGCCCTCCCGTCTGGTCCCGTCCCCGCCCCGGCCCCTCTGGAAGCGCACGTGGACGCCAAGGTTCCGGGTGGACACTCAGCAGCCGGGAAGCCGGGGCTGGGGTCGTGGAGAAATCTCAGTGTAGGCTGCACTCCGACTTCCGACCATTCGCTTCAGCAGAGTACAGAACTTTGGAAAGTCGCAGCCATTGTGCAACCTGCTGATGTGGGCCTTGACCCGTCGTGGCCTTGGGACTCCCTGCCGTCCTGCGTATCACCGGGATCTAGTGCTTGTGAGTTCCACTAGTGTTTATTGATGGAAGGAGTAAGTGTCTCTTAGAGGAATGACTCGCCCTGTTCACCGAGGAGAACGGCCTCGTTCTTTGGCTTCCCTACTGTTCCAACTGAGGTTGGGAAAAGCCTTGCTATGTATGCTCCCTTGTCTGGGAGGAGGCAGGCAGCACTTGACCCCTCTCCTAGCCCCACCTATTTAAGTCAGAAGATCACGATGGGACAAGGAAAGCCGGGGCCTACATATATTTAAGAGGGTGTTTAAGGAGAATTTGTGCTCTTGGAGTGCCTAGAGCACAGGTCGTTAGGTCTGTAGTGTCATTTAATTTAACACGGAAGACTGTTCATTTAACACTGAAGACACTACTTCCACTACAGCTCTTTTAAGAAGTTGTTTACTTTTTCACCCACGGGTCACATCTGGATCAAGTTTCTGGGTCAGCATCTTCCTATATCTCCAAAGCCCCTTCCATACGATGAATTCACCCTGTTCAAAAAAAAAAAGAAATCAAAAAGATGACTGGATATTTATTCCATAGGATTTACACCATCAGTATTGATGATGAGGGCTTATCCAATACCCTGTTCTCAGCTCCACGAGCTAATTCATAGTGAATTTGACTTTTTCACCAGTTCAGCCACTCTCTCCAGAACATTTGAAGCATTATACATTTATAGCTGAAATTTTATATCCAAATGCTTCATTTTCTGATCACAATTGCTTTCTCATCCAGTTTTCTTTTTCCTTGTATTAATTTTCTATTTCTGCATAACCATCGATCCTAGTAGTAATAATGACCAAAATTTACTGAGCACTAAACATACAAACAAAATACATTGCCTGCTAACAGCTTTTCCCTACATTACATACTTTATAAAATAGATATATGATCTGTTTCTTCAAAGAAGGGTACAATTTTTTTTTTTTTTTTT